CGGCTTCCAAACAGTTTCGTCTACCCATTTTCATTCAGATGTCCTTCATTGTGTCAATTTTCAGACACTTCCTAACTGTATCTCACGTTGGGATCGCCAGGCTGATATTATTACGAAGTCGCCTCCCTGGTAAATCGACCATGGTGGGGTTCGAACTTGGGCCTCATTGCCAGAACGCTAACGTTTCAGTCACCAGGATATGCGCCAACTTTTACGTTTCTGTTGCAAGTTTCTATTTCCTTTAAAATAACTTCCAAGATCCTGTTAAACTTTAACGAATAATTTTATCTGAATCGAATTTGGTGGATCTTTAAAATACTGAATGAATAAAAAATTCTTCAGAAGTGCTCCTAAATTGATGAATACAGTCGGCACAATTTTCAAAAGTTTCGGTTTCAAATAACCCACAAAGTGTTGATAAACCGTAACAAAAATTTAATCAATCAACAATTTCTGACAAGGACCATTGACTGATGTCAAATCAGTCGGGCTTCGATCCAGGCTTGAAGAAACCGGACGTCTAGCCACACTGAGGGACTGTGATACAGTGAAACAGTCTGTCTGTAGATGACTATATATGCTTATGGCTTAGAGGTAGGATATCTGACTGATGTCAAACACGTCGGGTTTCGATCCCGGTTTGAAGCAATCGGTTGTGGACTGCTGCGATACAATGAAACAGTCTGTGGATGACTATATATATATATAGAGTGAGAGAGAGATAGATAGATAGATAGATATATCATTTCACCCCAAGCAAGGCGATAATGCTACTAGGATGCAGGGGGTTACAAGCAGTGAAAGAGAATGAGAAGACTTTAGCGAGAAGTGTTGGAAAGGACGATAAAGGAACATAATTTAAGGAAGACAGAATATAGCCAATTTTTTATATTACAGCTTTCACTTTTTTTTTCTTCTATTTTTGCTCGCTGGTTAGTAGTAGCCGTTAAATCCACTATATGACAGAAACGGTATTCTTTTTTTTTTTTTTTTTTTTTTTTTGAGAAAATATATTTAGCCTTCTAGATCTTTATGCATTGTAATTTCAAAGTCCCACAGAAATTTATAAATCATTAAATCAATTAACATTGCATTAATAAGCACATTAATACGGACGTATATATACGTTCAAGCAAAGGTAGGAAGACACTGGAAAAGAAATAAAACCGAAAACATTAAATTATAACAAACCTTAAATTCGACAGTGACTGAATTCGGCAATTTGAAGACCGGCCTGGTCATATGACAGGTGGGGAGTGAGTGACCAAAAATAATGAATTCTCGCATATGAAGATAGACGCCATAGAGTTGGAATTAAAATAAGATAAATAATTCTATTGCCCGGTCAATACCAACACCCTACCATCACGATAAGAATGGCAGCTCGAACCTTCTTCCCTTATTTTTTAGGAGGTGGGGGCATGTCGGTTCTACATTTTGCCTCTTTTTCTTTCTTAAATTAAAAGAAGCTTTAATGACATCAGCAAACGACATCATTCCAAAGGAGATGGGACGATAAAAAAAAAACAACAAAAAAAAACAAAAAAACGAATGGAACACGGACGTGATTCTCGACATGATGCAAAAGGGACAGAAAACAATGCCAAGACATGGAACGGAATACAGAAAACTACACAATAAAATAAGAAACAAATGCAAACAGGCTAGAGAAGAATGTTTCAACAAAAATGTGGAGAAATAGAATATTACAGATGAAAGAGATATCCATAAAAAATAAGGAAACTAACAGGACAGAAGACATGCTCATCAACAGGCTGCATAAAATCCAAGAATAGGACGCTCATATTAGAGAAAGAAAAAATTCAGTGCTGGAACGAATATATTGGAGATCTTTTCCACGAAAGAGAACAACCGTCAATACATAGAAATAATGTTGGGCCGGAAAACCAAAGTGGCCATATTGAACAGAAACAAAGCGGCAGGGCCAGACGGAATTGCAATAGTGATGCTGTCAGCCTTAGACGATTTCGGCATAGACAAGATTACAGAAATAATAAATGAAGTCTACAACAGAGGGGATATACTGGAAAGCCTAAGCAGATATATTTTCGTAGCATTGCCTAATAAACCAGTCGCAAACGAATGTGAACTCCACCGAACAATCAGCCTAATGAGCAACATAACAAAACTCATCATCCGAATTCTGATGTGCAGCGGAATCAGGCCAGAAATAGGACAAGAACAGCGCGGGTTCGTCAAAGACACCAGAACAAGGAATGTTATTGCAATAATTTGTTAATGTTGTTAAGTTCAAACATTTGACGAGTCAATACGTGGATTTCCATGGGTGTTTTATAGTTTTATAGTGGAACTCGCAAGGTACTTATTTAGTCATTAACTTAAGGATTAAGATTTATCACAAATTCAAATACTAATAGCGTGTAATTTTCAAGAGTACTGCTAGTAAATGAAAAATATATATACTATATTATGCAAAAGTAAATATATGCTATATTATACAAGCAAACCTTTCAATTTCACACGATTGCCTCATTAATTTACCGCGCGGGAATAGATGATGTTTTGTATGTATTACCCACGAACCCCATGACCAATTGGGCGCCCCGAGAAATGCTTTGTGACACTCGCTATTTTACCAACATTTTCTTTTTTTTTTTTTTTTTACCTACATTTCTATACGTTATAAATCAATCTAAGCACAACTGACTATTAAAGGATTAAAAACGTTCGCGGATTTTAGGTTCTTTATTTTTTTTGTCCAAACCTGTGAATTTGATTTGTTGCTGCTAAGTCTCGAAAAAAAAAACTATATAAAATTGACTATAATGTTGAATATGTTAAAATTATTCAATTTTTAACAAGAAAAATCTCAAGTTGATGTTAAATGTTGCTGCAAAAGAAATTTAAGATGAAATGATCTATGATGACATATCTCTAATTTGTATTTAGATACATTGTATTTATTTTCAATTTTTCTAGTTGAATTGCACACCTTTATTGCATATGATCCATTATTATACATAATTATCTTACAATAAAATTTGTATTTTATATGAACACTACCGTATGACAATTGAGATACAGTAGCGTGCGGGCCCCGTATCATAGATTCGGCAAGGAGACCCTTACACTGGCCCTGATGTGTGTATATGTCTCTAATAATCGATGGGGTATAATTAATGAATCAAAGGTGTCTTATTCAACTGTTACCATGTGACAATTCTTGGTCTGGCAACACGGATAATCCGGCAAGCTCCTGCGACCAAATTTGCCGGAAAATCGTTAATCTGCCTGCAATTTTCGTTATGACAGCATTGCACTTTTAATTCAACAGTCATATTTACGTTTTCATTATTATTATTATAACTAAATTTATTGTTAGGGTTGTACTTATGGTTAATCATTATGGTAGCCGTAGATGCAGTTAATGAAGAAAGTAGGCCTAGATAATTGAGAATCATCTATGAACTTATCTTAGAAGTAAGGTGTAGTTGGGTGGTACTACAGAGAATGGGAAAGATAATAAGTGGGGGGCAAACGTTGCCTATAGGTAAACAGGGTAGGAAGTTGTGGAGAGACGTGATCACCTACGTCCTGAAGAAACATGGCACATAAAAAAGCTGTGTGTTATGTCTTTTACGCTCTTTCCTTCACTCTCTCTTTCTCATATTCACTATCTCTCTCCGCCGCTTTCTCTCTCTCTCTCTCTCACTCTCTCTCTCACACACACACACACACACACACACACACACACACACAAACACACATTCAATTATTGGGCATCTGGCGCAGTGTGGATCTTCAAAAAAGAGTCTCGAAAGGCGTTGATCGTGAGTTCGCTTCTCACAAGGGGTGGGGTCAAATCTCCTACCAGACTAAGTTAAAATTTTAAATTTAAATACTAAACACTAAACAGTGATGACAAACAACATTCACGTTAATGATTTCAACTTGTAGGGAAAAATCAAACTTTGAAAAACTTAAAGGAAAAACCCAAACAGTTAACAAAAGAACAGCATCTGAAACACACACACAAACACACACGTGTTTGCATTGAAAATAATTATGTATATGTATATAATTATCTTTCGTATGTCAACACCGAGCGCTGACAGCAAATCAGATTGAAATTATGAGTTTTTGAAAAAAAAAATGAAAAGAAAAAAAGAAACGTATCATGTTTCAGGTCAACTGTTTTTAATGGTCGTGCACTTTTTTTATGTCCAGGATATGAAATGCTTTCATGTTGAGACGAGTTTGAATTTTTTTTTTTTGTTTTATATTTTCAAAAACGCAATTTAATGTTCAGTGTCTTATTTCGGTTACGTTCACAGCAGAAACAGCCAATCAAAAAGCAAATTTATTTCACGCGAATTAAGAAGCGTAAAAATAAAATGATGCACACACAAAAAGAAAATAAGTGAATAAAGGCCAAAATACAAAAAAAGAAAAAAAAAACAGAAAAAAATGGATTAAAGAATAATAGATGAACAAAAAACTTAATAAAAAAGACGTAAATAAATAACAACTGCATGTTGCAAAGAAAAGATTAAAAAATGTACTGCGGGCAAAAAAAAAAAAGATAACGCTACCTTGAAATCAAAATGTGTGTGTGTGTGTGTGACTGTGTGTGTTTGTGTGTGTGTGCGCGCGCATGCGTTTGAGAGAGAGAGAGAGAGAAACAGAGACAGACAGAGTCAGAGATAGAATGCATGTTTGTGTTGTATTGTCATTGGTTTTCGTCTTTTCATTTATTTATTTATTGGTTACTCAGTTTTTTGTAAGCCGCACCCCTAACATGTCCTTCAATTACTGGCGTAAATCCCCACCTGCCCGTCCCTGTCATTCACGAGTTGTGGAAAATACCGGTCGGCAGTACATCCGTAAACAGTTGGCCTATATATAGTGGCATCTTATTCGTCTGGAAACACAACACACTGGTGAGATCAGAAGCCGACAAGATCGAGTAAACTTGCGCTACTAAAAACTCACTTCGAAGAAAAAAAACAAGACCAGCTATGGGGCTCTTATCATCAACTTCGCTGCTGATGTGCATTGCCATCTTTGGCCTAGCATGTAAGTTACTTGCAATTACATTCTTAAAGTTGTTCCTTCCAATTTCTTTCTTTAAAAATACACGTTCCTTCCAATTCCTCTTTTAAAATTACGCGTTCTTTCCAATTCCTTTTTTTAAATTACGCGTTCCTTCCAATTCCTTTCTTAAAATTACTTGTTCTTTCCAATTCCTTTCTTAAAATCACTCATTCCTTCCAATTCTGTTTTTTCAGTTATTCCTTCCTTCCAATTCCTTTATTGAAAAGTACTCATTCCTTCCAATTCCTTTCTTAAAATTACTTGTTCTTTCCAATTCCTTTCTTAAAATCACTCATTCCTTCCAATTCTGTTTTTTCAGTTATTCCTTCCTTCCAATTCCTTTATTGAAAAGTACGCGTTCCTTCCAATTCCTTTCTTAAAATTACGCGTTCCTTCCAATTCCTTTCTTAAAATTACGCGTTCCTTCCAATTCCTTTCTTAAAATTACGCGTTCCTTCCAATTCCTTTCTTGAAATTACGCGTTCCTTTCAATTTCTTTCTTCAAATTATTCGTTTCTTCTAATTTGTTTCTTCACCTTATTCGTTCCTTTCAATTCCTTCATTGAAAGAACTAATTCTTTCCAATTCATTTCTTAAAATCATTCGTTCCTTCCAATTCATTTCTTCTACTTATTCGTTCCTGCCAATTCCTTTTTTGAAAGTACTAATTCCTTCCAAATCGTTTATTAAAATTACTCATTCCTTCCAATTCCTTTCTTTAAATTACTTGTCCCTTCCATTTCATTTCTTCCAATTAATCGTTCCCTTCCAATTCTGTTTTTTTTTTTTTTTTTTTTTTTTTAATTACAGGTTCCTTCCAATTCCTTCCTTAAGATTACAGGTTCTTTCTTTAAATTACTGGTTCTTTAAAATTCCTTACTTAAAATAACTTTACTGGTTCTTTCAAAGTCCTTTCTTCAAATAACTTGTTCCTTCCAATTCCTTTCTTAAAATTACACGTTCCTTCCAATTCCTGTCTTCAAAATAATAGTTCGTTCAAATTCTTCCTCCACTTGCTAAATAATACTTGATTCTTTGTTTTTATTCATTCTTTAAACATTCGTTGTATCGTTTTTTCAAAATTGTGTATCTTTTTATCAAACATTCTAATTAGAATGTTTGATAAAAAGATTCCATGACAGTATAGAGGAAGCAGACGACAAGAATTGAAATCGCATTCCGTATTCATTTTATTTCTGATTCGTACTGGTTGACGTATGGTCGAAGAAATTAAAACGACCTGTACGCTGTGCTAAAAAGAAGAAGCAACAAAAGCAAAGTTAAAAATGAAGTTAAAGGGAAACTCCTAAGGGAAAAAATAATGATGAAATTCACACAGTGTTATAAATATTTTAAAAGAATTCCACTTGTGCTACTAAATTTCAATGTGGTACTGAAAAGTACCACTTTCCGAAATCTAATCAATCATCAAAGTTTATTTTGGAGGCTCTTCTTGTTCAGGCCGAGAATATCCTCTCATAAAAAATAAAATAAATTAGGAATTTAATTCAAACACTGCACGTAAAATTATATTACTTTTTTCTTATCCACATTAACTAGCTAGATTTTCAAATACATTAGTGAATTGACATGTACGTAGGAATACATGTAAAAATCACATTTCAGAATTTAACTTCGTTTCACTGTTGTTTTCAAGCAGGAAAATCTAGAAGAAAAAGTTCCCATTCGACTAAAATTGAAGCAAATAAATAATTGCACATTCAATTTTTCTTTTTCACTCGATACTGTTTTGGAGTTCAATCATGGTCTCTCTAAAATTATGCGTTTATTTGATTATTTTTAAATAGCTGTTTTAAGAAATCAGTCACTTACAGTAATTCGAGTTAAGCTGTGCTTTTAACTTCAAGGTACTTATTATAGTAACTAATAGCGCAAGCAACTTAGATGCCTTTCCTATTTTTGACTTAGAATCCTAAATTTGAACGAAACTACTCAACGAATGACCACAAGATTTCCGCCTTGCGGAAATACGGCTTAGGAAAGAAAAACTATCATAAAATCCAGTAGCTGACATCAGTTTTTTTTGGGTTTTTTTAAAGAAATTAATTTAAAATTTCATGATTTGCTTTCGTGAAACATCTGACATTCTTGACAAATTGAGAATTATGAACTCCTCTGCAAAGATGGTTCTACTGTCAGTATTGATGATTATACAACTTGTAATTTAGCCAAAAAGCTGTGGGAGAATGAAATAAAAACAATAAAGAAAGTAATAATAAAGAATAAAGAAAAAGAAGAAATTAATTTTCCCATTATGCAAGCCATAAAGAAACCGGAAAAGGTTTCTGATCACATACGGGATCTCATGACCTCATTTCCTGAAAGGACAGAATCTTTCTCTTTCGACTTTCCAACAACATCGTTCCAACGTGTGTTTTAGCAGTCCTACTCATGAAATAAGGGAATTGGTCGTTCCAACTCAGCGCAAAGCTTAATTGAGCTCTACCATTTTAACTGTTGTTATCCTAACTTACTTCTGAATAAAAAACAAAAACAAAAAAAACAAAAAAAAAAAACAAAAAAAAACGAACGGACATTGTAGAAACTCAATTTCTTCGTATGCTTCTATCTTCTTTTTCTATATATTGAACGCGCACCGACATAAGATACGCACAAATCCTACAACCTTCTTTGCTGTTGGCAAAAATTCTCTTACAAGCATTATTACAAGCATTAATGGAATATTCACGTAGAATTCAGGTTTCTGATTCTCCCATAAATACGGCAAGAACTTGATCTTTTCCAGTTCTCCCGCTTTATTGTCTCACGCCACTTAGATTAACGCTAGCTGTAGGAGTAGTGGTAGCAGACTTTTAGGCTTGTTTTTTTTATGAAGATAAAAATAGGAAAAATAAATGTACAACATACAGAGAATGCATGACGAATTGTACAGTAATTTCATACAATTTTATTTATGTATTTGTGTGTGTGTTACGTTACAATTGTGATAATATTCATTTTATAAAAGGGAGTAAGTTACTCCGCAATGTCACAAGTTGTATCACGGAGGAAAGTTACACACGTATTGTTATCCCGACAGTTCTTGGGCGAAGAGATTGACTCCCACGTCTTTTGGCGGGATGTCCGTATTTCCGACAGGAAAAGGTTTTTGTTTTTGTTTTTTTTTTTTGCATGCTAGGAGTAATTTTATTATTTTTATTTAATTTATTTTAAACAAGGTTTAAATATTATTATTTAATTTATAATTTTCATTATTATTGTTTTATATTTTATTTTTATTTATAATAATAACATTTCTCCTACAGTAGTGACTACATCAATAATTTTCTAGATCAAGTTTGCTAATTCGAAGACCAAGGAAAACATTATTCGTCCACTGATTTCACTTGAAAACGAATATTTCTTCTTAAATAAAAATGGTTTTCTTTTTTTTATTTTTTCTCTGTTGTTTATCTTATGTTTATTTTTTATTTCTTTAATGTTGCAACTCGAATTATTATATTTATCATCGTTATTAATTCTATTATCGTTCAGGCGCAGAGGTGAAATTATGTGTAACTTCCCAACAAGAAATTACAAAGTGCAACACATTTAGCAACATTGCATGCGTTTTGGGTACCGATAGTATTAACTGTGTCAATAAAATCAATAACAACGAAGCTGATGTCACAGTTCTGGACGGAGGAGACATTTATTTGGCTGGCAAGTAAGTAAAACATTTTAAATATATTTTAAATGAATTTGTTCAATTAAAAAAAAAAGCAAAAAATCGATACCGGTGAATATATATTGTTTCTGTTCTGGCGTAAATGGTTTTGGTGTTTCGTATTTTTCCTGAAATGGTCGTTGCTAAAATGTAGTTTCGTACAAAATACGATTTACACAAGCCATAAAACCTATTTGTCAAAGTTCTTTTTCTTCTATGTGCCGCATCCCTTCAGGACGTTGGCGATTGTGGTTCTCCACAATTTCCTATCCTTTGCAGCTCTTAATAAATGTTGTCTTTTTGTGATCTTTTTAAACCCAGTTTCACCATCAATTTACTCAAGCTCGTTAGGTAGTTTATGCATTGTTTTCCTCTGTACCTCTTGCTTTCAATCTGTCCTGTGAGTAGCAAATTTTTTCTTCATTATGTGCCTTAGAAATTTCAACTGTCTCTTTCTGTTGTTAAGTATAAGTGTCCTGTCTGTTTCCATTTTCTCTAAAACTACATACAGTCCATTGTATATTTAGCATCCTTCTGTATTACCACATAAGTCACGCTAATTAAAAAATGAAAAACAAAAAACTTATTTTACATGCATTATTCTGTTATAAGTGTAGGTACCTCCACGAAAATGCTAAAAATCATTTAATTTATATTATTATTAAATTAAATTTAAAGAACCTCCAAAAAATCGCAAAAAATCAACATGCCGTGATGAAAACATGCTCCAAAAACGTAATGTAAACATAGTTTAATCGTCAAAATATTTGTTATTATTAACAGGAAGCAGTAGGGTATTTTTTTGAATTTTTAATCAATTTTTTTTTACTCTTGTTTAGATCATTCGAAATTTTGATTAAAAATCTGGTTTTTCTTGCATCAGCGGTTGTACAAACTTTTAGCATAGCAAATTTAATCTTTTTTTTTTTTTTTCGGTAACACACACATTTGGCAATTCTTGCAAAAATCAAATAATTTAATGAAATTTTCAGGACTTATTCACAAATGAATTAAATTATTTTTTTAAATTTTTTATTAGAAAATCTTGGTAAAAATATTTTTACACGCGTTTCACCTACTTAATTAATTTTATGACAACGTGGGAGATTCAACGTGATAATTTTTAGTGACTGTATTAGTTAAAACTAGAATTCTTTGAATAATTTAAATCACCGAATCGTTTTTAAAATCGGGCCCCGTATTACCGAAAATATGCTCTGAATCGAAAATTAAAAAAAAAAAAAAACGCACTAAAACTGAGACATTATTTAATTAAAGAAGATTTTAATTGCTTTTAGTTTTATGAATATTAAAGACAATATTGCCCGAAGAAAAAAAAATTGATGAAGATTCCACATTAAATAACCGGCCTTGTGCCACATGATGCCCCAGTGTGTGTGTGTATGTGGAGGGGGGTGACTGAATATCGTCAGTCAGTCGCTCAATTCTTGACCGGCTGTTGGGTTGAACTCTCTGCCTTCGGGCGGGGAGGAACCGAACCCGAACGAGGCTACGCCGAAGGGTGGAGTCTCTTTCGGGTAGGTAAACCGACCCTGAACACATTTATACGGGTTCAATGGGCATATTTTGGGGGCGAGCCCACGGGCTCGGAGATACCACATTAAATAATCGGCCTTGTGCCACATGATGCCCCAGTGGGGGGGAGGTGACTGAATATCATCAGTCAGTCGATGTCGGACGACAGTTAGTCGAATACGAAAGTATCAGCGACCATCACAAGATTACTCGGCGTAATGCCTATTATGTCAAGTTCCTAACATTTTGTACGTTGAACCAATTTTAGGACCGACTTAGTACAAATACAAGCCTCCACTGCGAAATCACTCCACAACACTATGGTACCTAGACTCTATGAATTTAAGTGCAGTACTAGATTGGCGGCAAGGTCTCTTCATTTTACAGTTGAATTGGTTAGATGTAACCGTAAGTTCTATATTAAGAGTTGGTTTTCACTCACTTCTCGTTTGTGGAACTCTTTTCCGGCTCCACGCTTTCCAGCCAACTTTGATTTTCAAAAGTTTAAATGCAATGTCAATCTGTCTAGATTTCTGATATCTGATAACTGACATGGCACGTGGAACTAGAACAATCTTCCCCAGCGAGCGAAATAAAGGGTTCAATTTGACATTCCAACCATCTGAAGAAGGCCGGAGCGTACATCGGCCGAAACGTTGTGATAAATATGGCAACAAAGATGTGGACAATAGTCCGATTAATGTAAATAGTGTGCAATGTCAAACGCTATCTACTGTCTCCATGATTACTCTTTCATTATTGTTCAAGCTCCATAATAATGTTTCTCTGTTTTTTTTTCTATTCTTTCAGTCTCAGCAATCTCTTGTGTCTTTACTGCCTTGCAAACGATTAATAAATAGACGTAATTAATAAAATAAAACAAACCGTTCAGTTCACGACGAAACGTTAGTGTTGAGAGTTAATTTAATTTTTTTCTTTAATATTTGTTTCATTTTTGTAACCTCCATTTACCTGGTTTGATTTCATTCCATTGCAGATGTCACAGCATGAAACCCATCTTGTCTGAAAACACAGGAGCAACCCCACCAGGCGTTGGATATTATGCAGTCGCTGTAGCTAAAAAATCTTCTCATGTCACTATTCAAACCTTGGAAGGTTAGTATATATCTGGAATTCTTAAACAGTATTGTTCAAGAATTTCATACAAATATCTGTCGACGCTAAATCTCAAAATCTTGTCTTCTCTTACCTTCCATAACTGAAAAATTCCGTTGTTTTGTGTGGTTTGTTCTTTTCGTGTAATATTAAAAATGATTTAGAGAAAATCTTGAATTATGGTGATTATCGAACGCACTATTCAGGCTTACTGAACTAACGAGAGAAGCTTGCTAACCACTACCACACGCCGAAGTGTCCTAAATGATTTCCTAATCGTAGCTTAGATATGGCACGAGTCCGAAAGTGTGGAGCACCCAGCGAGGACCGAACTCACTACTCATTTGTAAAGGTTCTAGCGAAAGAAGCTTGCTAACCACTACCCAAGCTGTAGTGGCCACCAAGTCATGATGTCCTGGGATTTGACGATAAACTACATTCAGTAGCAAGGCTTCTTATCGGCTGATTGCAAATTTTGAGGAGTATAGAATCACCTCATAATTTTTGACCCTGGGTCCACCAATATATACATGATTAATGTGACTTGGTACACACACGCACACACGAAGGTAAAAAAAATCATATCCCGTTTCCCACAATCAGGTTTGAGCACCCCTTGGTCGTTGGGTAGTACACGATGATCATATATATATATATATATATATATATATATATATATATATATATATATATATGTAAGTATATTGTTTGATGATCGTAAAGCGGATCATCAAACAATATATATAATATATATCGTAGAATATATTGTTTGATGATCATAGAAACCGGAAGAGCATTCTACAAGGGACAAGTGCAAGAGAAAAAAAACTATTAGCATAGAACATAGCTAAAAATTGCAATTTTAACAGTGAAATTATGATCTAACTACAAATCAAGTACTGCGCTTAATTTCGTGAAGTCGAGTTACGAAAGAGGAAACCACATTAGAAAAATGAAATTGAGATGCCAGATCAGGACCGATATCATTGCCGATTCTTCTTTGAATGTTTGTATGAATCTCTAGATATAAAACAAATGCCCAAGACCAAATATGGCAGTAAAAGTCGATGCACAGGCGAATGATAGACTTGTGCATAATAGATTCACGTGAGAGAAATTTCCTAGAAACACGGACTGAATCGACTTTACCATATATATATATATATATATATATATATATATATATATATATATATATATATAAAGCTCTCGTAGCTACTGATGTCTTTCGCATAGTAAAAAACGTTAAAATTTCCCTTCCGCTCTGCCGTGCTACGATTGATTGGGGAGTAGAATCTCTGACTGATGCCAAATCGGTCGGTTTTTGATCCTGGCTTGAAGCAATCGGATGTGATACAGCGAAACAGTCTGTCCGTGGATGACTAATTATGCTCTCGAAATAATTCGATTGAGCTCTCGGAGAGGAAGTGGGTATTTTATAAGCATTGGCTGCTGCTGCTAATGCAATGCACTTCTACTCGAATTGAGCTCTCCAGGCTACTGACGTTTTCACATAGGAAAAACGTTAGAATTTCCCTTTCGTTTTGCCGCGCGACGATAGCTTGTAGGTAGAAACTCTGACATACGAAATCGGTCGGGACTCGATACCGGCTTGAAGCCATCGGATGAACTGCGATACGGCTAAACAGTCTGTCTGTGGATATATATATATATATATATATATATATATATATATATATATATATATATATATATATTGAATGGAAATCTATTTTTTTTATTTAGCTAACGTGTAGGAGTACAATAAAGTTGAATGTGCGGGTGGTGTAATGTATAGCGGCTCGGAACGCAAATCGGCGACCTGATTCCACTAGGATTCGTTGTATATACTTACACGGAAATACCATTAGGAAAGGTGTGAATCCATCTCCTCTACCCCAGATAGATGTCATAGAGTAGAACCTGTATAAAAAAAAAAACATTGTTATTCTCAAAACATTGTTAATGAAATATTCACTTTCAAAAATATATCGTTCACTTTCTTAGCATTACTATTTTGTTCTTTTACAGGTACAAAATCTTGTCACACAGGTGTGAATAAAACATCTGGTTGGTTTGTGCCAATGAGTGTTCTCTTCCCACACCAAAATAATCAGCTTCAACTAGCATCTGCTTTTTCAATAAAAGTTGTGTGCCTGGTGCTACCCTGGTTCGAATCTGTCAATTGTGCACCCCTAATTGCGAAAGAAAAACAGCAACAATTTATATTATGGATACAGCGGTGCTGCTAAATGTCTCGAAGAAACTGATGCCGATGTTGCTTTCGTGAAACATCTGACGTTCTTGACAAATCCTGCAAAGAGTGATTATGAACTCCTCTGCAAAGATGGTTCTACTGCCAGTATTGATGATTACGAAATTTGTAATTTAGCCAAAGTTCCTTCACGCTGTTGTTTGCAAAAATTCACTTAACCAGCAAGAAGTTGCGAATATTGTTGCAGCATTCCAACAGAACTCAGATAAATTATTCGACAATACATCCGGCAAGAACTTGATCTTTTCCAGTTCTACCCAGTCACTGGAGTCGGTCACTAATCCAGATTACGCTAGTTATCTGGGAACTGACTATATCGATGCTTTGCCAGATCAAGTTTGTTAATTCGAACTAATTCGAAATCATTATTCGCTCGCTGATTGTACTTGAATATTTCTTCTTAAATAAAGAATATTAACAGATGAATTATTATTATTATTATTATTATCTTCTTATTCTTCTTATTCTTTTTCTTCTTCTCCCCACGCCATCAGGGGGTTTCTGATCACGACTATGCACAATTTCTTATCCTTTGTAGCTCATAATATTTTTATTCTTTTTTGCTAGCTTTCCTAAACTCTGCTCGACTTAAGCTCGCTAAGTAGGTTATGCGTTGTTTTCCCCTGTCTCTCATGCCTTCCAGCTGTCTTGAGAGTATGAAATTTTCCAAGTCTTTTTTTTCATTATGTGCCTTAGAAATTTCAAGTATAAGTATCGGCTTGTTTCCATTTGCTCAAAGCGATTCGGCCCATGGTATTCTCAGCATCCTTCTGTAGAAACACATTTCTTCTGCTTGAAGTCCCTTCATCTGTGAGATGTAAAACGTTAAGTCTGTAAATACTACATTTACAAGAGTGAATGGTTAGAATGTTAGTGTTCCGAGTATGATACAGAGTTTCGAATCATACTACTGTCGATCTGTCAAGAAGGGGATCACATTAGCCTGGGCATACGATTTCCTCGTGCTGTACAGTTGGGAATGCCCGAAAGCCATCTACCACGTGTTAAGCCAATCCTTGAGAGTGAAATTGGATAAGCGAATCTGTTGGAAAAATGTCGACGATTGTGCTAGCAGGAAATCACAAGTCATCGTGACCGAGAGTTTGAGTGTACTGGCCTTGTTCAAACTGTTGATCACGTCAGATTATACGCTCTCTTTTCAGAAACTGTAATTCCGTTTTGCAGCATAAACCACAGGTTGGCTCTGTGGATGTTGCAGAAACACAAAAATGCCTGAACAGGTAATCTGCAACGGGAATGAGGGTTGCTAGTTAGACGGGCATACTCGGAAAGGAGGGGTCAAGTCAACCATACACATTTATTAGAACATATATTCAGTTTAAATACAGAAGCATTGATAAAAATGTTTTCAAAAGGCTGCACTGTTTTCCTCTTATAGCAGTGGTTAGCACTTGCAACATGCATACTGATTTCATTTTTATTAATCATTTCACCCCAAGCAAGGCAACAAATCCACTAAGACACAAGGGATTACTGAGTATGAGAGAATATGGAGAGAGAACAATAAAAGAACAGGAATTAAGGCAGAAGATGACTATTGATATTGCATCTAAATTTTTGAAGATCAAATTTCGCTGGAAAGCAACAAGCCGCAATATATTTGCACAAGCGAGAAGTGCGATATAAGAAACTTTTTGCATATAACTTACGATTACATCAAGCCCTAACAACTGTAAAATGATCCGACCTAATACTGCGCTTAAATTAATAAAGTCTGGCGACCAAAGAGGAAAGCTCATCAGAACAATTCCCATGAAAATATTTATAGGGAAGCTACGTAACGGCTGTGGTAATTTCTTTCAAATTGTGTGTCCATGCGTTTGCGAGCGTGCATGTATATTTTAATATAAGAAGACCTAAAATATTTCTAAAAAAATTTAAGAAAAATTATATTATTTTTACCGAATAATTTCCTAAAAATTCAATAAAATATTTTCATTAGGATGAGCTAGGTTCAACTATCGCCCGGTTCACACTCCTTCCCGGTCTTTTGCACTGGAGTAGATGTTTATCCCTTGTTTCCTGTTTTAGTATTTGGTTTCAGGCTCCTTCTAAAGTCTTTTTAATTCTCTTTCACTCTTAGTAGTCCCTCACTTCTTAGTGAGGTTATCGCCTTGCCTAGGGTGAATTTATTTTAAAAAAAATATCTGATAATGTTGAACACATTAACGGGGATTTCGCTGAGAAATTATTCATGTCATTTTTTTTCTTTCATTCTAATTGTGCCATTTTACTTGAATTCACTGGTAACTAGAAAAACCGAATGAAAAAAAGAATGTTAACAACAAATGCTTTTTCACGCCCAACCCAGTTCTGCGGAATCAGAATCAACGTTGAGTTTAAGCAAGCGAATGAGCCAATTGGAGTAAAGCACCATGCAGATTTAAATTTTTACCACTTGTGACGCCAACACAACAGTATTATTCCAGTCTTTTATTTCAATTTCGGCCAAATTTTGTGTATATTTGTGTGTACACGTGTGCTTGTGCATAAATTAAATGTCAGGAGCACATGTCAGTCACTTACGCATACAGATAGATGCATGTACATTACATACGAACATGCAAAATACTCATAGCGCTTAACAAGCTACTTCTAAATATGGATTTATTAATTCTTTTCTTTCTTTTTATGTGCCATGTCATTTCAGGGGGTAGGCGATCATGGCTCTCCACCTCTCTCTATTCCTTGCAGCTCTCAACTGCTATTTCCCTCAGACCACATTCTGTTATTCACCTGCTGAAGCCCGCCAGGAATGTCACGCGCTGCTTTCCCGTGTCTCTCTTTCCCTCTATTCGACCCGTGAGTATCAGATTCTCAAGGCCCTCTTTCCCCATTATGTATCACAGAAACTTGAGCTGCCTCTTCCTGTTGTTAAGCGTGGGTCTCCTTCTTGTCTGCATTCTCTCCAAGACCTCATCGCTGCTCACACGCTCAATCCACAAAATCCTCAGCATCCTTCTGTAGAACCACATCTCCGTCGCTTCGTGTCTCTTCTCCTTCCTTGAGGAAATCGTCCAGCATTCGCTGCCGTAAAGGAGAACAGATGTCAAGTAACAGCTCAGTATCCTTTTCTTTGTTACCAAAGAAATCCTCCTGTCTCGCAGTACTCTTCCCAGCTTTTGGAATGCGTTCTTGACCATCCCAATACGTCTACGGATCTCAGTGTCGCACTTACCGTCCTCTGTCGAAATGCTTCCCAGATATTTAAACTCTCGAGTCTGCTTGGTTCTAGTGTTCCCCAACTGCAAATCACATTTCGGGCTGATCCTCTTACTGATGACCATGCATTCTGTCTTCTTATAGTTTATGCTTAGTCCTTTCTTCTCACTCTCCGTCGCTACCTTCTGTAGGAGATTTTGTAATGTCTTTTCCGTGTCTGCTATCAGTACTGTGTCATCTGCGTATGAACGAGTAAAATCTTTTATGCGATTACAACTACAGTGTTTTTCCTGTTTGGCGTCGGATGCTTTCCCTGTCCTTATTTAACTTCCATCTTGGCGATACTTAGTAGATGACACTCTTATGCTTTCATTTTGAGTTAAGGTCCACATATTGGAGTCTACACATTGAGTTGTCTTTTACGCTAATTTAAACAGCACACTATCAAACATACAGCATTTTTTTGCTTATTTAAACAGCACTTTTAAGGGCCTTATGAATTCGGCACTTGCTACTCGTTTAAGAGTCAAGTCTTTTTTTCCTACAATGTAAAGAGCCTTTTCAGGGCTAAAAAAATCTTTCAACTTACTGCCCCGCACCCCAAATATATGATAGAGGACCTCTTTTAATACATTTCAATTTTCATTAGGTATTATTCATATAAAATAAAATTTAATTGTAACCTAATCATGTGCATTAATGGATCATATGCAATGTAGGTGAACAATTCAACTAGAAAAATTGAAAATAAATACAATGTGTCTAAATAAAAATTAGAGACATGTCATAATAGATCTTTTCAGTTTAAATAAATCGACAATATTCTGCGACAATTTTTAACATAAACTTGAGATTTTTCTTGTTAAAAAAGTTGAATTCAACATTATGTATAAAACTGAATTTTATATAGTGTTATTTTATATAGTTTTATTTTGTATAGTGTTATTTTATGTAGTGTTATTTCGTGACTTTTATATAGTGTTTTTTCTTTTTCGAGACTTAGCATGATCAAAAGAAATTCACAGATTTGGAAAAAAAAATTAAAAACAGAATGACATAAAAATCCGTGAAAAGTTGTCATCCTTTATTAATCTCTTATGGTTAGTTTAATATATAAGGTATATAAATGCACGTAGAAAAAAGGAGATTGTTGATAAGAGAACGAGGATCATAAAATACACCCTTGACGTGGAGATGTTCGGTGGTAGTACACACCGGCCTTGCAGTCAGAACTGTCTTATATATACTTCTTAAAGGAGGAAATTTTCTTAACTCTTTTTTTAATCGAATTCATCACATGCAAGGCAGTAAACTACTAAGTCACTAATGTTACTGAGTGTGAAAGAATTAGAAAATAAAAACATTATTAAGGAGCGAGAAGAATAGAAGAATAATCAGAAAGTAAACGATTGACATTGCATTTAAATTTTTGAAGATTAAATTTGGCTGGAAAGCGTAGAATGATGAGAGTGTTCCATAAGTGAGAAGTGTGGGAAAAGAAACTGCTAGCGTAGGACTTACGGTTATATATAGCCAATTCAATTCTAAATTGATGAGACCTTGCTGCGAATATAGTACTGTGCTTAAATTCATAAACTCTAGGAACCATAGCTAATAGTTCATCTGAACGATTACCATGAAAATATTTATAGAAAAGGCTCAGAAAGGCAACAGTACGGCGGTGGGAAAGTGAATGAAGCTGAGATGCAAGGTCAAGACTAATAACATTTCTGAATCTTGTTTGGATTTTATCTTGAGGTATATAGCAGGAGCACCCGACCATATATGACAGCA